GAATAGTGTAATCTATACTTACCTTTTAGTTTGTGTCCTGAATTAGTATTTTTCGAGGTCTAGCATGCCTCGGCCAGTCTTGTAGCTCGTAATTTGTAAGATCTCGTAGTTCGGCGTTGGGGTGAGTCTCCAGTGCTAGAAACACACTTTCTGCCTTCCTCCTCATGAGTTCTAGTACCCTGGTGGATTCTAGATCCCTATGAATGATTCGGTTCGGTGTGTATCTGTAGGCGTTCACTGCCGTGCGTAAGCTGATGTTGTGCTGAGCTTGGATCTTTTTCCTGTTTGTCCTGCAAGTGTATCCCCAAGCAGTTGAGGCATACAGCAGGATTGGTAGTATTACGGCGTTTATTATCCTGAGTTTCGTTTTGAGGAGTAAATTGCTTTTTCTGCCGATGAGGCAATTTAGCTTCGCTCTTGCGTATTTCGTCTTATTTACCACCATGGTCACGTGTTTTGTGAAGGTGAGTCCTTGGTCCATCTCTACTCCTAGGTATTTTGCTGTGCGACTCCATGGTATGTCGTGTCCGTTTAATTCGATCTCCTGGTCTGGAGTATGTCTTCTCTTCTTGAACAACACAGCTTGGCTTTTCTCGGCATTTATTTTGATCTTCCATTTGACGCACCATTCCTGAATTTCTGTTGCTGCTTCCTGCAGTAGCCTTGATACCGTTCTTGCGCTGGTGCTCGAGGCTGCTATGGCCGTATCGTCTGCGTAGAGTGACATGGTGGTATTTGGTGTTTTGGGGATATCTGCAGTATATATGGTATACAACAGTGGTGATAGTACCGCTCCTTGAGGTACCCCTGCTTCTGTGATTCCAATTCTCGACAGGATGTGTCCTGCCTTGATCTGGAACTTCCGTTCACTGAGGTACGACTTAAGCAGTTCCGTCATTCCTGTTGTGTATCCTTGGTCCTTCATCTTGAATACGAGTCCTTGATGCCACACTCGATCGAATGCCTTACTGACATCCAAGAATATGGCTCCAGTTGACTGTCTCCAGTTGAATCTCTTGGTGATGTGTTCCACTAGTCTCAGGACCTGGAGTTCGCAGGAGTGTTGGGGTCTGAAGCCAAACTGTTCGTCAGGAATGATGTTGAGTTCGCTGGTTTGGTCCTTGAGCCTAGTTAGAATGACTCTCTCCGCAATTTTACTAAGCGCTGGCAGCAAGCTGATTGGCCTGTAATTTTGTGGGAAAGTGGGGTCCTTATTTGGTTTGGGGATCATCAGCACCTCTGCAGTTTTCCAGAGTCTTGGGAAGTACTGAGTTCTTAAAATCCCGTTAATGATGGTGGTGAGGAAGACTATGGCTTTCTGCGGTAGGTGTTTGATCGCTCGGTTCGAGATTCTGTCACGTCCTGGTGCTTTCTTGGCTGAAACATACTTGATTATATTTTTTACCTCATCCGGAGAAGTGGGGGCAAGGCTCTGAATATTCTCAGGTACGTTATCCCAGTCGTTTTCTACGGCTTCAGTGAAGTCGATGTCCTCGTCGTCGTGGTCATTCAGCTGGGATTCGTTCTCAAAGGAGGTGGCGAAAACTTCTGCTTTGTCCTCGAGCGTGCAGACGAGTCCATTTGGTCCATGTAGCGTAGGAATCCGTTTGTGTGGATTTCTCAGAACTTTTTGGAGGGTCCATAATCCGGGTTTTTGTGGATCTAGTTCATCTAGATGTTGTTTCCACATGTCGTCTTGGTATTGCTTTAGCTCATCTCTAACATGAAGTGCTAGATTGTTGGCATGTCTCTTGTCCATTTCATTGCGTGTCCTGTTTGCACGTCTTCTGGCTCTCCTTTTTTCTACAATCAGGTCCTTCAATTCTTGGCTGATGGCTTTGAATTTACTATGTTTAACTGTCGCTGTCTCTCTTGTGCTGGTACTTATTGCCTGTCTGATGACGTTTTCATAGTGTTCTAGCGCTAGGTCCACGTCTTCGTGGGTTTCTATCCTTGGGATGTTTCCTAGGTTTCCTCCCACTAGGCGCTTGAATTGTATCCAGTTCGTCCTCGATACGGTCTTGGGTACATCTTCACCTTCTTCGTCTCCCAATTGGAGTAGAATAGGGTTGTGTGATCCGAAACCTTCTTGCAAAGAGTACATTTCGACAGGAAATGTGCAGTCTCTAAGCAGGGCTATGTCGATAACGTCTGGTACTCCTCTCGGTGGGAAGTGTGTTGGTTCCTCTGGTCCTATTGCTGAACATTGTGGGTTGTCATCTAGGTAATCCACGAGTGCCCGTCCTTTAGGGTTTGTAGTCGTGCTGTTCCAGTTTGGAGATTTTGCGTTAAGATCGCCGATCAATATTACCTCGGTGTTGGGTGGTATGAGTGCATCGAGGTCTTCTATGTGTAGGATGTCCTGTGGTCTGAGGTATGCTGATACTACGTTTAAGTTGCCATGGTTGGTTCTGATGGTAACGGTAGTGGCTTCCATAGTCCTCAGTCCGTCGGGGGTTGGAGTGCTGTAGTGGTCGATCTCCTTCCTCACTAGAATCGCTGTGCCTCCAGAATTTGCTCTATGATCATTTCTATACATATCGTATCCTAGAAACTTTAAGTTATCGTTTGCACGTAACTTTGTTTCCTGGAGTGCGATAATGTCTAGTTTTTCACGTTCGATTAATTCTTCCAGCAGGAGTTTATTGACTCGGATGCCTCCGGAGTTCCATGATGCGATCTTCAGTTGACCTGGTTGTATCGGTGTGTTTCTCATTTTTGGTTAGAGGGGAAAATTTGGGTGAGCATTTCTGTCACACATTTCTGGCAAGTTTCCAAGATGAGGCGATGCATTTCCTGGGGCAGTGTTTTGAATACTGCAGTGGTGGTGGCAGTAGTGGCTGCGGGGGCGGTGGTGTTTGCATAGGATACGCCTTGTATCCTGTTTGCGGGTCTCTGTATGGTTTTGGGGCTGGTGGCCTTTTGGGCGGTCTTGGGTTTGGGGGCTTTGGGGCATCCTCGGTAGCTTGCGGGGTGTACTCCTCCACAGTTGGCGCAGGTGGGGTCTGATTCTCTGTCTCTTGGGCATGCGTCAGCTCGATGTGGGCCTCCGCATCTAACGCACCTGACGTCGTCATGGCAGTTGGATTGGGCGTGGTGGAAGCCCTGGCATCGGTAGCACTGAGCAACGGTAGATGAGGCTCTCAGTTTTTCAACCTTCATGACTACATTGCATAGTCGGTTTATCCTCATGATGGCTTCTTCGTCCTTTTGGTTCACATCCACTAGGTATAGTGGTATGACGGACTTGGTGAATCTTGATCTCATGTGCTGTACTTTCAGCGGCGTGATGCCTTGAAGTACCAGCTCATTCGTCACTTCTTCGGGGGAGTTGTGGGTGGGTACACCTCGTAGTACCGCCTTGAAAGGTTTATCCTCTTGCAGGGTGTAACAGTAAAACTTCGTCTTCATTTCTTCGAAATATTTTACCATTTTGCGGTAATCGTCCGAAGAATTTGCGAATATTCTTAAACCGCCGTTTTGCAGTTTTGGGTCCTGGAATGAGATGTTTCGGCTTTTCAAGCCGCGGTGGAGAGAGTTCCATCTCGTTGTGTCCTTCAAAACTATGGGAGGGATTTTCACCTTAGGTGCCTCCAGTAGTGTCTCTTCGTTTGTTTCTGTTTCGACAGTGGCACTGGGCGTGCTTTTTACTGTCACAGTCTTCTTTTTAGGGATGACCCCGTGGGCACCGTCTAGTTTTTCGCTGTCGTCGGATTCGGGATGGTTCCGCTTCCTTCTCGCTCTCCTAAGAGCGTTCTTGGTGGGTTTTGTTTTTACAAAACCATTTTCCTCTTCGTCTGAGTCTGTTTCCGGAAGATCTAAGTCTTCGGCACTCATGTAGTCATCAGCAACCGCGGCTTTTTGCACGATTGCTTCATCGATTTCTTGTGTCTTCTCTTCAGGCTTTTTCTGATCAGCCATCATCTTTTCTATCTTTTGGAGTAGAACATCCATTTTATCGCTAAGCTTGGCGTTAGCGCTCTCCAGGCCTGCAATTCTTTGCATAAGCCGTTCATTCGTCTCTTGAAGCGCGTTTTGCGCTTCAATTGCTTGTTTATATTTCTCCTCTGCTTTTTCAAGCTTTAATTTGTACTTGTCTCGCTGGGAAGACAAGTCTCTACCTTCCTTCTTGATTTTTGGGACGGTGCCCGTGCCCACCGGGGCCATTTCCCTTAGGTCGTACCTCCTCTGAAATAAATTTAAAGGTCTCCTCTTTCAAAAAAGACCTTTAATTTAGGATAAAAAATAAAAATATAAAATAAAATTATTTTGTCCTGTGAAAAAGAAAAGTTATTAATGTCTGAAAGAAAATTTTATGATTAAATAAAATTTTTATAGATTTTATAGAAAAGAATCTGAAATAAAAATTTATGGTTAAGTCATCTGAAATAAAATAAAAATAATTAAAGAATCTGAAAATAAATGTTAAATGTATTAAACAATCTGAAATAAAGAAAATTTTGTTAAAGAATCTGAAAAGTAAAATATTGATTATAAATCTGAAATAAAAGTTTATGATTAAACAATCTGAAATAAAATAAAATTGGTTAAATAATCTGAAAGAAAATAATGATTAGCTAAAAATTTTTACTTCCCAGACCATATTTATGTCGGTTCGGAGTCGAGCGTCTCTTTCGCATAGGCTCCGCCCCTACATGTGCAATCGTACGAAGCGCACCGATTGGCTATGCGCGTTAGTATAAAGATGATGCTTTAGGAAATTTTAAGCACAGTCGATTGTGTATCGTGTTTGTTGTACGAAGTAAAAATAAATAAAAATAATAATGTCTGGACGTGGTAAAGGTGGAAAAGTAAAGGGAAAGGCAAAGTCCCGTTCAAATCGTGCAGGATTACAATTTCCAGTTGGTCGTATTCATCGTTTATTAAGAAAGGGAAATTATGCAGAAAGAGTAGGAGCTGGTGCACCTGTATATTTAGCAGCCGTAATGGAATATTTGGCTGCTGAAGTTCTAGAATTGGCTGGTAATGCCGCTAGAGATAATAAGAAGACTCGTATTATCCCCAGGCATTTGCAATTGGCCATAAGGAACGACGAAGAATTGAATAAATTGCTTTCCGGAGTTACAATTGCTCAAGGTGGTGTTTTACCAAACATTCAAGCTGTACTTCTGCCAAAGAAGACTGAAAAGAAAGCCTAATTGCTTTTAGTTTCTTTTAATAAAAACCCGGTCCTTTTCAGGACCACAAATATGTTTTTTTCGATGATAGATAAAATTGAATACCTACATAGGTACATTTTTTTTTTCTTATTTTAATACCATATCGTTTATACAAAAAAGATAATATGGGATTGGGCTTTCCATGTTTGTGTTATAGATTAGTTCATAATCAAAGAGTTTCTTACGTTATATTTTTATAATATTATTTATCTACCTTTTTATATGTGCATGTTAAGTATTACCTTTATTATATGCTAATAATATCTTATGTTTAGTTATAAAATAAAAGCAGATGCACGGTTCAACGAGTTTACCGTAGAAATTATTCCCTTAAAACTTAAATATCGTGGCACTAGAGAATAGCATTATTAACAGCCGGATTTATTTAGTTAGTTATAGGTAGAAAAGTAGGTTGGTAGCTATATTCTTCTATAAAAATTTGGTAGTGCGAAAATGTACTGTTTTAATAAATGATGAGATTAAATATAGTGGATTATTATTACCATTATTAGATCGGTCGTTACTTAAAATAAGCGCTGCATATATTTATTTAATTTAATCGAATACGTTCTGTTTGTTTAATAAAAACAGATAATACGAATAAGATGTTTGTTGACGTAGTTGTATTAAACCTCTAAAATAAGTAAATTATAAATCTATCATGAACATATTTTTGTGGTTCTGAAAAGAACCGTTTTATCGATGTGCACAAAAATATACAAAAAAAAAATTGATATATATATATGTGTGCGTTGAAAGAAGATGTAGTGTAATTAACCTCCAAAACCGTATAGAGTACGGCCTTGACGTTTCAATGCATAAACGACGTCCATAGCTGTTACGGTTTTCCTTTTGGCATGTTCTGTATATGTAACGGCATCTCTGATAACATTTTCCAAGAACACTTTTAGTACTCCACGAGTTTCTTCGTAAATTAAACCGGAAATACGTTTCACACCACCTCGACGTGCTAATCTTCTAATAGCCGGCTTAGTGATACCTTGGATATTGTCACGTAACACCTTACGATGACGTTTGGCACCACCTTTTCCCAATCCTTTACCTCCTTTACCACGTCCAGTCATATTGATCGATTTCAAAAAAATTAATTGTATGTACGTACACGGCACGCAAGCAGAACGGTACTGATCGAGAATGGAGCGCGAGCCCGAGTTTTGTTAACTTTTAGGCCCCGCCCACGGTAAAAGTTGTTGTCCAATGGCGTCGCCCCACCAATAGGTTATATATGAAGTGTAAATTTTTGGATAATTCAGTTATATGGTTACAGTTGTGACGTTAACATACATCGCTGTTGTGAAATTATAATACAAAAATGGCTCGTACCAAGCAAACGGCTCGTAAATCTACAGGAGGTAAAGCACCTCGAAAACAATTGGCCACTAAGGCGGCTCGTAAGAGCGCACCGGCTACCGGTGGTGTTAAAAAACCACATCGTTACAGGCCTGGTACGGTGGCTCTTCGAGAAATTCGTCGTTACCAAAAGAGTACCGAATTGTTGATTAGAAAATTACCTTTCCAACGGTTAGTGCGTGAAATTGCCCAAGATTTTAAAACCGACCTGAGATTCCAGAGCTCGGCAGTTATGGCACTCCAAGAAGCCAGCGAGGCCTACTTGGTAGGTTTATTCGAAGACACGAATTTGTGTGCCATTCATGCAAAACGTGTCACAATTATGCCCAAGGACATACAATTGGCAAGAAGAATTCGTGGCGAACGTGCTTAAACAACACATTCTTCACAAAAAAAAAAACAAAAAACGGTTCTTTTCAGAACCACAATAATTTTGAATACGATAGAAAGTTTAACTAACTAACTAACTAACTAACTAACTAATTAATTAACTAACTTTACTTAATACCAGCTATACTCGCTAAGCTTTTGTTCTGTATTATTACGAAGCTGTTTGTTTGTTTGTTTCTTTCTTTCTTTCGCGAATATATTGCACAGATTTTTAAATAAACGTTTATACATAAAGAGGTTTTGTGTGTTATTTATTACAGGCTCCCACTAAATAATTTTAAATTAATGACCGATTTAACAAAAAAAAAGCTCGTCATCCAAAAAAGTTGCCGCCGCGGTCCGTGTAACATAACACACATTATAAAAATTCGATATAGCTGTTTGTTTGTTTTATGCTGCACTTTTTATCAGAGATCTTTAATAATAAATGACTGAGAAAATGTCGGTCTAAAATAAAAGAAAGAAATTAAAATTAAATAGGTTATATGATGTTTGTTTTTTTTTTTTTTTTAATAAATAATTAATTACTTTTTTTTTTTTTCTGTACTGGAAAGTAATGTGTATTCTTGAAGACGTCAGATATTTAGTTAGATTTTGCGAAATATTCAATCGAAATAATTAATTTGTGGCCCTGAAAAGGGCCATTTGTTTGCGACAATAGCTTTCGTCGTTAACTATTAATAAATATAATGACCATAAGTAACGTACATAGTCAATTTTTTACTTCTTCTTTTTGGGGGAAGCTGCTTTTCTCGCTTTTGGAGAACTGGCGGCTTTTGCAGTTTTCGGTTTAGGTGCTTTAGGTTTCTTGGTTGGACTACCTTTGTTTGACTTTTTGGCCTTTGTCGGAGTCTTAACTTTTGCAGGTGAAGCAATTGATGTGGCAATTTTTGAAGCACCAGTTCTCTTATCATCTTTTTTCGCTTTAGTGGCTTTCTTTTCTGCTGTCGGAGCTTTCTTTGACTTCGCTGATTTTTTGGCTGCTTTTGGTTTTTCTCCGGTGGTGGTGGTTGTTGTTATACTACGTTTTACTGTCGTAGTTTTTTTAGCTTTTCCACTAGCGCTCTTCTTTTTGTCGTTAGAACTAGGCTTAGCTGAACCTGAAGATGTTGCAGAAGCTAACTTGAAAGAACCGGACGCACCTTTACCTTTCGTTTGTACCAATGAACCTGAAGCAACTGATGCCTTTAGATACTTCTTAATGAAAGGAGCAACCTTTTCTGCATCCACTTTATAATTGGCTGCGATGTATTTTTTGATAGCTTGAAGTGAAGACCCTCCACGTTCCTTTAAACCTTTAATAGCGTTATTGACCATTTCTGAAGTAGGTGGATGAGATGGTTTCGTTCTCGGATTTTTAGTTTTTTTCTCCTTTTTCGGCGACGAAGCTTGTGGAGAACTGGAAGCTGACGTCGCAGACGCTGCTGAATTCTGGTTATCTATATCTGCCATATTTCTCTTTAAAAGAATATAACGTCTCACGAAAATACACGGTGTTAATTTACTCACTGATAGAATAATAATGACAAATTTTAAATCTTCCAACAGTTACCAAGTAACTCTAGTCGGACGGAAGACTGAACCATTGCGTCATCACAGCCATTGAAAATGAAAATAAATGCGAAATCAGTTTACCTAGGACTCTCCTGGGCAGTAGTCGACACAGAAAGTGTAGTATTTTTGATTCTGCTAACGTCACTTGTCAGTTGTCATAATAAATTTTGTTACCCGTTACTTTTCCTTTCCAAATATCCTTTTAACGCCAGTGTAAGTACCCTATTAGAACAGGGAATCGGTTTATGTCCGAGCCCGTTGGGCCCCACACAACACCCGCTAAGGGTTTCGAAACCCAATACGCCAAAAGGATAAAGAACAAATGCCGGCTGAATGCTGAGAAGGTCCTCAAAATAGCAAATGTGAATTCTCCCCAGAACTTTAAAGCAAAGAGGAAGCTCAGCATCAAAACTGTGAGTACTGATACACTAAATCAAATAATAAATAATCCTGAAGTTATTGAGAAGGACCAGGAGTACCCCCCGGTCAAAAATTCAGTAATTTGCCCTTCAAATGACCCTGAAGACATAGAACGGCCGTCTCTAGAAGTCGAAAACATGGATATGACCCCTGAGGACGGGGATACAGCCTCGAGAAGGTTAGGTTAGCTTTGGTTTGGTTTGGTTTGGTTGGGTTGGGTTGGGTTGGGTTGGGTTGGGTTGGGTTGGGTTGGGTTGGGTTGGGTTGGGTTGGGTTGGGTTCGGTTGGGTTAGGTTAGGTTAGGTTAGGTTAGGTTAGGTTAGGTTAGGTTGGGTTAGGTTAGGTTAGGTTAGCTTTGGTTAGGCTAGGCTAGCTTTGGTTAGGTTAGGTTAGGTTAGGTTAGGCTAGGCTACGCTAGCTTTGGTTAGGTTAGGCTAGCTTTGGTTAGGTTAGGTTAGGTTAGGTTTGGTTAGGTTAGCTTTGGTTAGGTTAGCTTTGGTTAGGTTAGCTTTGGTTAGGTTAGCTTTGGTTAGGTTAGCTTTGTTTAGGTTAGCTTTGGTTAGGTTAGGTTAGGTTAGGTTAGCTTTGGTTAGGTTAGCTTTGGTTGGGTTAGGTTAGCTTTGGTTGGGTTAGGTTAGGTTAGGTTAGGTTAGCTTTGGTTAGGTTAGGTTAGGTTAGGTTAGGTTGGGTTAGGTTAGGTTAGCTTTGGTTAGGTTAGGTTAGCTTTGGTTTGGTTAGGTTAGGCTAGCTTTGGTTAGGTTAGCTTTGGTTAGGTTAGGTTGGGTTAGATTAGCTTAGGTTAGGTTTGGTTCAATTTGGTCGTTAGGTTATGTTATGTTTTGTTATGAAAAAAATTTTGTTCCTGAAAAAAAAAAAAAAAAAAAAAAAAAAAAAAAAAAAAAAAAAAAAAAAAAAGAGTATTTTTAGAGTTTAGTGGGTAAATTAATTTTTACCAAAAAAAGGTCAGGTTAGGTAAATGGCTGTACAAAAAGATAAATTTTTTTTTTTTTTTTTTTTTTTTTTTTTTTTTTTTTAATTTTAACGTTCCCATGTTCATTTCAGACGTTGTTGATAGTTAACAATTTAAGTTCTTTATACTTTCTAACATTTGAAAAATTTATTCCAAATTCAAGTTTTTTTGTCCACTTTTCAACCTTCTCCTAACTTCCAGTAAGTTTTTATGTTTGTTTACAACCGATTACTTTTTAATTTTTCTCCTAACTTTTCAATTTTCTCCTAACTTTTGCATTTAAAACTAATTAATTTAAAATGTATAATGTACATGTTTCTGTACTAGTTACTAATAACGTTCTCCAGTTCATTTCGATCGTTGATGATATATATACATATATAATTATCTTAAGTTCTCCATACTTTCCAATATATGAAAAATTAATTTCAAATTCAAAAATTCCAGTTACTTTTCGTGCTTCGAACCGATTATGTATTGAATCTTTGTATAGAGTACATTTTCCATCTACTTTTTAATTTTTCTCCTAACTTTTGCATTTAAAACTAATTAATTTAAAATGTATAATGTACATGCTTCTGTACTATTTACTAATAACGTTCTCCAGTTCATTTCGATCGTTGATGATATATATACATACATATATAATTATTTTAAGTTCTCCATACTTTCCAATATATGAAAAATTAATTTCAAATTCAAAAATTCCAGTTACTTTTTGTGCTTCGAACCGATTATGTATTGAATCTTTGTATAGAGTACATTTTTCATCTACTTTTTAATTTTTCTCCTAACTTTTCAATTTTCTCCTAACTTTTCAATTTTCTCCTAACTTTTGCATTTAAAACTAATTAATTTAAAATGTATAATGTACAATGTACATGCTTCTGTACTATTTACTAATAACGTTCTCTAGTTCATTTCGATCGTTGATGATATATATACATATATAATTATCTTAAGTTCTCCATACTTTCCAATATATGAAAAATTAATTTCAAATTCAAAAATTCCAGTTACTTTTCGTGCTTCGAACCGATTATGTATTGAATCTTTGTATAGAGTACATTTTCCATCTACTTTTTAATTTTTCTCCTAACTTTTGCATTTAAAACTAATTAATTTAAAATGTATAATGTACATGCTTCTGTACTATTTACTAATAACGTTCTCCAGTTCATTTCGATCGTTGATGATATATATACATACATATATAATTATTTTAAGTTCTCCATACTTTCCAATATATGAAAAATTAATTTCAAATTCAAAAATTCCAGTTACTTTTTGTGCTTCGAACCGATTATGTATTGAATCTTTGTATAGAGTACATTTTTCATCTACTTTTTAATTTTTCTCCTAACTTTTCAATTTTCTCCTAACTTTTCAATTTTCTCCTAACTTTTGCATTTAAAACTAATTAATTTAAAATGTATAATGTACAATGTACATGCTTCTGTACTATTTACTAATAACGTTCTCTAGTTCATTTCGATCGTTGATGATATATATACATATATAATTATTTAAGTTCTCCATACTTTCCAATATATGAAAAATTAATTTTAAATTCAAAAATTCCAGTTACTTTTCGTGCTTCGAACCGATTATGTATTGAATCTTTGTATAGAGTACATTTTCCATCTACTTTTTAATTTTTCTCCTAACTTTTCAATTTTCTCCTAACTTTTCAATTTTCTCCTAACTTTTGCATTTAAAACTAATTAATTTAAAATGTATAATGTACAATGTACATGCTTCTGTACTATTTACTAATAACGTTCTCTAGTTCATTTCGATCGTTGATGATATATATACATACATATATAATTATTTAAGTTCTCCATACTTTCCAATATATGAAAAATTAATTTTAAATTAAAAAATTCCAGTTACTTTTCGTGCTTCGAACCGATTATGTATTGAATCTTTGTATAGAGTACATTTTCCATCTACTTTTTAATTTTTCTCCTAACTTTTCAATTTTCTCCTAACTTTTGCATTTAAAACTAATTAATTTAAAATGTATAATGTACAATGTACATGCTTCTGTACTATTTACTAATAACGTTCTCCAGTTCATTTCGATCGTTGATGATATATATACATACATACATATATAATTATTTTAAGTTCTCCATACTTTCCAATATATGAAAAATTAATTTCAAATTCAAAAATTCCAGTTACTTTTCGTGCTACGAACCGATTATGTATTGAATCTTGGTATAGAGTACATTTTCCATCTACTTTTTAATTTTTCTCCTAACTTTCGCCTTTAAAATTTTTATATAAAGTATGTATATATTGCTCTTATGTCAAATAATTACGTTTTCACACGGTAGTACATTTTTAAATGAATTAATAAATAAATATATAAAATTAAGAAATGTTCTCCATACTTTTTACATGTGAACAACCTTTTCTTATTTATACAATAAAGTGTTTTCTACATGTTTTTTTTTTTTTTTTAATTAACAATTAGACAATTTAGCTACTGTTACAATGATTTCTGCTACAAAAGATTCATGTCTCATAAAATGTCATGTAAATTGATCTTTTGGATTTTGTTCAGTTAAGCGTCTTATCGCACATATGGTATAGTATTAAATTGACCATAACTCAGTACCAGATTATTCCCACTATATGTGAGGAGATGACTCGGCAGCGACTGGTCCGTTATATCTGTCTGGTGCTGTCGGCGTTTTCTACCTTGCTTTGTGGCCGTCAAAAACCGACTTGCGATGTTCGTTTATTGTACGTGTTTTACTTTAATGCGACTTCGTATAGTGGATTCGGGGTTAATTTACCGTCGAAATTTTCGGCTGGTTAAATTAAGCTTCTTGGCGCCGTCACAGTTTTACTTTATGAATTCACAGCGAGATCGCGGATTAAGCGAACGTTTAACGTAAGCCATCCACATGCGATCGACCATAACACTTATATTTTATGATGAAAATTCATAAATTCTAACAATTGCGACAACTCTCCTCTATCCGAGCGAGAATATTTTTATTTACGATACGTAACGATTCTTTCGAAGACACCGTGTCGCTTTCAATCTAGCGAAGGGTCGAGAGAATGTTGAACTTTTTTGCCGGTCGGCGTATAAATAAATGTATTATTATATAGTAACGATGATCCAAAGACGACGCTACCGCGACGTCGATCCGCGTTATAATAATGTACATAGTCGATCCGGTTTTTATTATTAATAATTTTTTTTCGTCAAGCGTGTCGTTCGAATAGTTTATCTTTTTGAACGAATTTTAAACACGCACGAGAAAGAAATTATGATAGAGATGTTTGTCTCTATTATTCTCTTTCGAATAGTAGAACAACAGCTCCCTGGTTGATCCTGCCAGTAGTCATATGCTTGTCTCAAAGATTAAGCCATGCATGTCTCAGTACAAGCCAAATTAAGGTGAAACCGCGAAAGGCTCATTAAATCAGTTATGGTTCCTTAGATCGTACCCACATTTACTTGGATAACTGTGGTAATTCTAGA